CAGTTTTTTTTTTTTTTTTCTTTTGAGACAGAGTCTTACTATGTCGCTATGTCGCCCTGGGTAGAGTACTGTAGCGTCACAGCTCACAGCAACCTTCCAACTCCTGGGCTTAAGCGATTCTCCTGCCTCAGCCTCCCAAGCAGCTGGGACCACAGGTGCTGACACAACACTCCAGGCTGGGTTTGAACCCACCACCCTCGGTGTATGTGGCTGGTGCCATAACCACTGTGCCACAGACTCCAAGCCCCAAAGATTGTTTTCTATAGCAATTTCTTTAGGGTTGGAAAAATATAAAGTGTGGGTGTTCTTGTTTTTCAGACTCATTTGCACCCAGAACAGTGTATCTTCAGCACATACTGCTCAAACACTCTACAAACTAGCCATTTCTGGATTCAGAAGATAAATATCTCCATTCTTCCTTTGCCCACTTACACATTGACCCATCTCCTGAGTCACTTGTTCCTTTATCTGTATATTTATCATTCATTTTGGGAACACCTATTATGTTTCAAGCCCCGTGGTAGTCATTGTCGGAATACCAAAATGGGATATGGTGTCTGCCCTCATGGAGGTAAGAACTTAGTGATGGCGATGAGATAGTCCTGATGATAATGAAAAGGCAAAGGAGATGTCAAGCATTCCTTGAAAAAAAATTTTTTTTTGCAGTTTTTGGTCGGGGCTGGGTTTGAACCCGCCACCTCTGGCATATGGGGCCAGTGCCCTACTCCTTTGAGCCACAGGCACCGCGCCATTCCTCGAAAAATTAAAAAAATACTTGGGAGGCTGAGGCAAGAGAATCACTGAAGCCTAAGAATTTGAGGTTGCTGTGAGCTATGACGCCATGCCACTCTACCAAGGGCTACTTAGTGAGAAGTGAGACTCTGTCTCAAAAAAAAAAGAGAGAGAGAGAGCAAGAACTCAATCTCAGTTAATGCAGAGACTCTTGAGCCACTGATTTTCTTTCTTTTTCTCTCTCTCTCTTTTTTTTTTTGAGACATAGTTTCACTTTGTCATCCTTGGTAAGTGCTGAGGTGTCATAGCTCACAGCAACCTCAAACTCTTGGGCTCAAGTAATTCTCTTGCCTCAGTCTCCCAAGTAGCTGGGACTACAAGTGCCTGACATATGTTTTAGAGATGGAGTCTTGCTCTTCCTTGGGCTAGTCTTGAACTTGTGAGCTCAAGCAATCCACCCACCTCAGCACCCCAGAATGCTAGGAAAATAGGCATGAAACACCATGCCCAGCCCAAGCCACTGATTTCCTATGGGGCTCATGATATATGCCAGAGGCACAGGGGTAGGGAACTGGGGACTTTTGCTCTTGATCATCAATACCTTTTCTCGCTGGCATGCATTAAGATATCATGATCCTAAACAGCATCAAGGCCTGCCCAGGCATAGAGTTTCCCCTCAATCTCTCTCCTTCCCTCTATTCTTTCAAGTCTCTCTGGACCCA